TTCAGCAGGTACGAGAGAGGCCTGACACCAGTTGTAAATAATGCAAAGGCTGAGAAGTATAAATGGGAGCAACTGAGCAGAATTTATGAATAATAGCACAGGGTCAGAAAGTAATGTTTGATATAGCACTATCAATACGAGAAGATACTTTAACATGTGCTGAAGTCTTTTTGGCATAAAAAAATTAGAAAGGACCGAAGTCTTGTGTACTAGTTCCAAAACCACAGAGAAGCAAAGTGCATACTCTCCAGATGGTGCAATGCTACCTCACTTAAGAAAATCTCAAAACAAACAAATAAGGGTTCTTCAAGAAGTTCAGTACCTGTTGCAGAAGAACTCTACAGTTTTACACGCTGTCCAACACCCAAACCCCATTTATTATATTTCTCTCAATGCGCCATGACAAGAACAGAATCTCTAGGAAACCACTAAGTCTTGAACAAGTCATACAAACTTATACGTCACAAAAAGTATTTTTAGTACAGCAGCCACTGTTGGGTCTGTACAATGAATATAAGTTAATAATCTGTATTTACTGCTGAGAGAAAGAACAACTAGGAGGTTGTAATTTCTAATTATCATAGGTATACTATATTAGTCTAAAGAAATCACACAGTCCCGATAACCACATTTTGCTAAACAGACACCCCAAAAAAGAAACCTGACTCTCAGACATGCAGTTTAAGTGATCCTGAAGATCACTCCATAATTTATCTTTTCCCATAATACCCAAGTTGCAGAGTAGACACAGTCTAATCATATGACTAGTGAGGGAATGGTAACTATGCACCTGCAATCACATCATCTGAGCACACGCCGCCCTAGTGTGGAGCTCTTCCAAACAAATCTATACTGCAGTGAATCTCTCCAGTAACCAAAGAAGAAAACCAATCATAGATCATAATTTTATAGATCTGTCTTTACTTCTAAGTATATCTTTCTTAGTATCTTTCAGAAATAAAACAAAATGCCATGTGGTGTTTAAGAGTTATAGATTCCTACTTCTTACAAATGTAAAATTTTACTTTAGAGCATCACAATTATTTTTCTTTTCTTTAATTTATTTTTTATTTTTAGAAATAAAATGACCATAAAAGAAATGAATGATTTACAAAGCTTATTCTTGAATTCAGTATCCTTGAAGTAATTATCATTTTTAAGATGCTGTGAGAAAGATTGTGATTCTTCTTACTTCACCCAGAGGTACAATGATAAACAGGTTGATTCTCAGAGCCTGGATGCTCTGGATCAGGCAGTTTCAGGTGATTTTGCTCAGGCTAAGGTGAGTTCTACTGCCTTGGGGTAGAAGGCTCTCTAAAGGTCATCACACTTTCCCTGCTGAGTCTATAGAATACTTAAAAAACAAAACTTGTCTCTCTTTTATTCTGCCTTTTCAGGTTTCCATCCAAAACCAGGAGA